CCATGCACATGTCAGTGTGTTCGAATATATTTTTCCGTTCAAAAATTTGGAATCAATCTGTAAAGCACCTTGCTAAACCAGTATGGCTGATAAACAAAAATAGATTGATGTTTATATTTTATTTTCAATTGATAAGTAGAGTCAGTGTACCCGGTTCCGCACAGGACCCGGTCCCGCACACTTTCCCATTTTTCATTTTTTCTTGAAAATTCAAATGAATTTATTCAGTTTTCATTTGTGTTTTACTGAACTGGCATGTTTTCAACAGGATATGACATAATCTGGGATCTTGCACCCCAGCCTTTCCCTAAAGAGTGCAGACAAAAATGTAAATACATGTACATGGCTGTGTAGGTCACACATAAAAACATCTTTTTCAGCAATTAAACCATGCTAATTTCTATTTCAATGTTAAGATATTTATAAAATATATATTTGAAAATAAATGTATGTTACAGTTTTTGTTTTGGCAAATTTGCTGTTAGTTATGAAATATATGCACATGATTTAACTTCTCCCAATAACCAAACGTCAAGTCATTTCACTTTGATTCTTTTGTTTAAAATGATACCAAACTCTTAATCGAACAAGTCATAACTAAACAGATGAAAAAACCTTCAATAATAATGTTTTATGTCTGTGTTTACTACCTACAAGTGGTAAAAAAGTATCTTTCAATTGCTGTTACATGTTTCCTATGTGCTACTATGCTTGGAAATAAATGTTTGTATACTGTAGTAAGAATGTGCTTTAAATTTATTTGAACTCCTGAAAATTTGCAAAACAATATAACTTATCTGGACTTAGAGATGTTAAATAATTTATAAAACATGTTTAAGATGTACAATAACCTTTCAGTATAAAAGTGGCCTTGTGTGCGGAACCGAGTCCACTATTTATCATATTTGGCCCATACCTGTTGCTTAAAATCAAGTGCGCCTAGAAGTATGACCTACATAAGATAGAAACGTTTTGGTCATCAGTTTTTATGGGCAAAGGATGTAATTTTCAAAATAATATCAATTATAAGAAGAATTTTTAACTATAAGATAATTTTCTTATTTTTCCTTAAAAAAGTGTACGACTCCGGGTACACTGACTCTACACTGTTTGAGAGTTTTTGTGTATGATTGAGCATGAAATTGAAAGAAAAGAAGATAAGCTTTTGAATAAAGCTTGAAAGGCAAGACAATAGACATTTTTTGAATTTTTTATGATGCTATGCGTTTTTGAGCAATAACTATTAGACGTCAGGCTTGACCGACACAAACTATAACAAGCCTGTAACGTCTAATATATTTGGACTAGATTCCATCTTGCTTTATGATATTTAAACTTTGTATTATGCTGGATTCCATTTTTCATTATTTCATTCAAACATTTCGAAGTGACCAATTCTTTCATTGAGTGATAACTATTAAAAACTGGAACAAGCCAATTGGAATGCTAAAATGTTAACGTCATATACCTTTAAGCATAAGCTACCTTTGTTCACTGATGGATTTTGTTAAAATGTGACTTATTTGATTTATAGCTCGTATGGCGTGATTGACTATCAGCTTTCGCTTATTATATCCATTATTTACAAGAAAAACAATTATTATTGCTTAATAAAGCTCAGTGTCTGAGGCTTTGTGGATTATGTTTGATCATCTTACATTATAATAAACAATTTAATCTATATCTAGCGATTTGTGAACTTTTAATGGGCGAGAATTCTGTTATCGATATCAACGGAATTTTTCCATTATGCAATATAATCTTATATATGTTTACAGTTGAATAGAAAAAATATGCTCGTAAACAGTTATTCAATGGGGCAGTTACAGGTACACGTACAGTGGCGGATTCAGGCCCTGGCTTAACCCTTTCGCTGCCAGAGGGTTATTGTTTTATTGTTCACCTATTTGCCAGAGGATTTTCTAAGAAATTACTATATTATTAATTAATATAATTATTATTATTTGTTATTAGTATTATAATAATTATATATGTTTCCAAATCTGTTAGTGTAATAATAATTATTGTCGATGGTATAATTTTCTTTATATTTATTATTATCTTTATTATTATTATTATTATTAATATATCATTATTACTATTATTATTTTAGAAACGGCTAAAGCCGTCCATAGACTTAGAAAATTTCTGTTTAATGATTTACGTGCAACATTAATCTTTGAAAATACTGAAGTGTTCACTTTGAACTTGATACATGTCTTTAGGATAAGGCCCATAAATCAGACATTAATTTTGATGAAGTTATAGCCCTTTGTTGGGACAATTCTGTGATAGAATTGATCATTTTGTCCATAGAACACCTGTTATTATTGTTTATACCATAACTTGAGAGGGACTTAGTCCTGGTTTTTTTTATTGGGTAGGGGCAGTAGATATCCCATAAGGATGTTTGAGGTCACGGGTCAGATAAACATGACACTTCATGTAAAATCCTTGTCTGATGAATGATTTAGAAAGAATAAGCCGTAGTTTATATAACCTAAAAAGATCAGTATGAGATGACACCGAATAATTTTTAGGCAATTTTGTCAGAAATCAGGGTCACAATAACCCTAAATCTTTGACCAATCAAAGTTAAACAAAACTTCCAGCTTTAACTGTCCCAGTATTATTTGAAAATTGGACGTTAAAGTAATATTTGGGTAAACTGTGTTTAAGTCCTTTATAACAAAACCCTAAAATAACAAAGTTAACACTTTATATATTAAAAATTTAGTTTATTACTTTAACGTCCAATTTTCAAATAATACTAGGACAGTTAAAGCTGAAAGTTTTGTTTAACTTTGTTAAACCATATGCAAATAAACATTAATGTATAAAATGTCCTAAAAAGGAAACATTAAAATGATTTCCTGCAAAAGTTACTATTTTTGTTTAACTATATATTTAGGCATTTAAATAAAAATAAAAAAAAAGGAGTAAGCTGACCACTTATTAAGACTTGTTTGTTTAATTGCTAATTGTCACTTAATGTAGCTTGGCTTTAAAGCTTAATATAAGGTTACTTTAGCAAGTCTTTGTTGAACAGCTTACATAAAATAAAACTAAAGTAAAAAACACTATTTTTAAGTAAAATTGTAACTATTTTAAAGTTACCAAAATAAAACTATTATATTTAAAATCTACATTTAAAAACAAAAATTTTAATATAAAATATAAAATATTTATTTTAAAAATAATAATTGTAATGTAAACATAATGTAAAACTATAAATCATAATAGTACTAACAGAAACATACCATGTTACATCTAGTTATATCAAGAACAAGCAAAGAGGTGTTATCTTAAACACCAAACATAATACATTGTCCTTAATACTTAAAGATGCAATTAAATATATAGCATATTAAAATATGTGAGTTTGATGGTTTAGTAGGGAACACATAAGGTTGCAATTACATGAAAGTGCATTCAGTAAGCATAAGGCATGATTGAATTCAGCAAAACGCAGGTTTTCATTGTCATTAAGAAGTATAGAAGCAAGCATAATGTAAGTCCCGATAACATAAAGCAACATGGAATAAATGCACTAATTCTGTTCCATAGATAACTGTTCAAGAAAGGAGGTATGTCATGTGGAAAATTAGCTAAAGATACTTCAGCGAACAGGTTTTATAGTATTGCTAGACCTGTACGCTGAAGCCAACCCTTTATCGAAAGACAACCAGAACCGTGACATTTTTATGTCATGCTGTAATTCGATAAATTTGCGTGATCTGGACAAAAGCTATTTAAATACAGGCAGTTAGATATATTTGGGACCCTTCAGTCTATATTTTTGAACACAGAATGTAAGATTGATGAAATATTGCCTCAAAGTTTATCAGCGGGTTCACATTTAATTTGTATGCTGTTGCAGTCAGCAAATGTTGAAAAACTGCACCACAACCCGTGAAACAACTGTAATTGCTCATAAACGTATACAGTACAATCATAAAAAATACAAAAAATAATTGAAATATCTATTGCCTTTTAAACTTTATTCATTAACAAACAAAAACACAAAAATAATCGAGTTTTATCCTGCTATTTATTATTTACCCTCCGATATATTGATACAAAAATGTCTATCAATGACGGCACTAAGTCCAACCTGTACTGAAGGTCAACTCTTTTGGCTGTCATCTGATCTGAACAGCCATTTGTGACACCCGCAAGGAAAATCAATTTATATACATGCATGTGCTCAGTGGTCACCTGCTGTGCATCAAAAATGCTTCCCTAATCTTAAACTTGTTGGGTTTTAGTCAGCAGTCAGCAAGGAGAAACGGCCAGAAAATGTTCTAACTTTTCAAAGATGGCACATGTGGATTAATTATAATAACAAAGGCTTCTTGTCATGGCCCAGACACAAACCACAGACTTTCAAGAAATTTCCATAATTGCTCAACCAAGTAATTTTAATTTTAGGAATTCATTTTTTAAACAATAGCAAAATTACCTCCCAAATCATTTTATCATTATTTTTTGTGCCACCTTTACCCCCCCCCCCCCCAACAATTTTTCAATCTTATGAGCATAAATTTAGAGTCCCCTTTTTATTGACGCAATAATGACACTAGGGCTTTTTTCACAGGTAAGGGAAGCAACCCTGTCCTTAACTTTGGGGAAAACTTACACAGTATATGTGCAAAAGGGTGAAAAAAACTTCATGTAATTTTAATGTTTGAAGAAAACTGCATGATTTTGGGGAGGGGTTGGGGGAACAGCCCTATAACAGTTCCTGCTATAGAAGTAAAAAAAGGCACTGGTCACCAATTTTGTGGTGTTTGTCTTTCTTTGGTGATTCTTTATATCTCTCTATTTAAATGAAAAAACATCTTCAAAGTAAAAAAAAAAAGTTCTATTTGTTAAATCTTGAGTGAAAATAAAGTTTTCTGTCTGTCTGACTTAATTGTGAAGAATTTCTTACTTTGTGCCTTCCAATGTCATTATTTAGATTTTTTTATAAAATTTTTAAAATATTAACATTTACTACTTTAAAAAGGACACTAAAATGTTTTTTGCCTGAACAGGAATTTGAAAACCTAGACTTTTTGAAACTTTAGGAAGCATGTTACTATAAGATTTAAATATGGTTATCAGAAAAAAAGTCTTATTTTTTATAAAAGCTTAGTCTAATGATTTGTACCGGCCATTCCATGGGGAAAATGAAATCAATGATAATTTGTAGGTTTAATTTTTTTTTTCATCTGCAGGGTAAGAGATTTAAAGTGTGGACAAGTGACAAAGGTGTTGGCAAAGTTATATTTGCTAACACATTTGAAGATCTGGTAGAAAAAGGTAAGTACAAGCTTAGTCTTCAATTTTGACTGTCAAGTGACTAGTGATCATTATTTTTCCATACTTTCAGATGAGTGACTTATTTTCTTTAATAAATACATGGAGTACTAACTTTAGTTAGTTAACATCAATTATCATTTTGTGCCCCCACTATGGGGGGGAGGGAGCATTTAGATTAACCCTTGTCTGTTTGTCTGTTCGTTCTCATTTTGTGTGACGTAGCTCAAAAATTGATGACCTAGTAGAGTCATGAAACTACATGTATGTTGCTCAGCATATGTTGTTGTGCACCTGGGTATTTCCATGTGGAATAACTTAGTATTTGTAGAGTTATTGCCCTTGACTTAATAAAGATTTGCAATTTTCTACTTGTGTTGCATGTAGCTCAAAAAGTATTTGATCTAGAGTCATGAAACTTTACAGGAATGTTGCTCAGCATGTGAAGTTGTGCACCTGAAGTTTGGCTTGTAAATTTTTATTTTGTCAGAGATATTGCCCTTGACTTAGTAAATATTTATAATATTCAACTTGTCTTGCAGGTAGCTTGTAAGAATTTGACCTAGGGTCATGAAACATTATACATGAATGATGATCTGCATGTGAAGTTGTGCACCTGTTGTTTCGCTTGCAGATGTATTCTGTTTTAATTGTCAGAGTTATTGACTTTGATTCAAGTGAATACTTGCAATTTTCAACTTGTGTCACACATAGCTCAAAAAGTATTTGACCTTATTATAAAGGGCACTGAAACTTTATAGAAATGTTGATCAACATGTGAAGTTGTGCACCTGGGGTTTTGCTTGTGATTTTTTTTTATAAATAGCACTTCATTTCACTAAAGAACAATATTAAGCATTTAGTTTCTTTTATTCTCTTTTCTCTTCATAATACCTTTCTGCAATGCTTTAGAAACCTTTTCAGGGGCATTTGTCACTTTTGCGTGATAGCTCTTGTTTGTGGGATTTTTTATGTATTATTTCCAGCTCATATATATACACTTAACGAAACTTATAAGTACTCCGATTTCAAACTTGCAGGAAAACTCCGGTTTTCAAAATATATACTAAACTTGAAGGTATTTGATTTTTTTTACAATGGTGTTCTCAGTTACTGATTTTCTGTTATTGTAAAATGCATTTACTATTATAAAATGATGATACTATTATTAAAGTTTATACAGTATCGACTTAGACTAGTTTTAGTAATTCTAACACAATCTAATAAAAGATTGGTCGGAGTACTTATAAGTTTCGTTAAGTGTTATAATAATAATAATAATGATATCATAATTTATTGACTTTGAGGGTTGCATTGAGGTACTGTACTTGGGTCAAAATAGCTCTGTCCTGGGATCACATAATTTTTGTAGACTTAATTTTGTAGTTAACATGAAATAGGTTACCGGTATTATAGTCGAATATTGTATTTTAAATTGCAGTATTGTGGTTATTAAATATAGATGATATTTTCCAGCAAAATCAAAGCTTGAGATTGAAGGACAGGTCAAAATAGTTCTAGATGATAGTTGTGAAATTGATGATGATGATGCACTGGGAGGAGTGGCAGATATGGCATCATTGTTTGTTCTGGCAGAAAATCAAGAACTGACCTTGCCCTCTTCTTCAGGTATGTTTTATTTGTGCAATTACGGTTTACAGTTTATTCTGAGGGTCTTTGGTTTGAGTCCTTGTCAGGCTGCACATTTTTTTAACCCTGTGGCTGACATATAGACCAGAGTTAAATTCCCTTTGTTCAGTAACCCTGAGAAATTTGAAAGACTAATTTGCATATAAAGTAGAAAGTATTCTATGGTTTAGAACTGTGAGATAAAGTGTAAGCAGCTGAATGGCTCAGTGGGAATAGCCGCAGAATCATACTCCGAGTTTCAGGGTTCAAGCCCCTGCCAGACTGTTACATATCAATATCAATCTGTTCATAAGTAAAAAAATTGGAAGGAAATGTCTTATCTTCAAGAATGAACTGGTAAGGGGTGGTGGGGGTTGGGTAGTCTGATATCATCACATAATGTGTGAAGAACCTGATATCAGATATATTGGTAAGCATATGAACACATATGTTTATTGAATTGAATAACAAAATTGTTGCACTGATTTAAGAGTAATTAAATTATTAGCCTATGTACAAATAGGATTAAATCTCTTATCTTCAGCGTAAAGCGCACATAGAAATCTGAGGTATTCACAATGAAATCACAAACCTAAGCATTATTGTTTCTATTTATCGCAAGAGCACTGCACATTTATTTTCATCTTTAAGAAACCTGAAATTTACAAAATAGGTCTATTTAAAATACTCTTTAACTTCTCAATAGTAACTGACGCAAAACACCGTACTTAAACGTTTAGATGAACGCAGACACTGAAAAACCCAATTTAAAATGATTTTTATGCCCCCACAAAGTGGGGAGCATATAGAGTTGCACTTGTCTGTCCGTCCGTACATCTGTCCGAGCATACGAGCAAACATTTGATTATTATGAGCTTCATTCCGTAGTTAAATAAAGAACAAAAACTCATAAAATTCAAATTAAGAGCTATTTTTTTTGTTTTTATGAGCTAAATATTTTGCTTATGGACATTGGTCCAGGTGGTGTTTATGAGCTGATTTGCCTCCTGTCATGAACATCAAAAGTTGGTATGTTCGTCCGTCCGTACGTCTGTTTGTACATCACGAAATCTTGTGAACGCAACTCCTCTTAAACCAGATGGCAGATTTTGCTTTAACTTCCAGGGATGAACGACCTTAATGTGTAGATGGTAGTAAAAGGAATTTTAGCTGTCACCAAATTTAACAGAATTATGGCCCTTTGTTGATTTTTTCACTATATACCATATAGAAATGTTGTGAACTCCTCTTAAACTGGATGGCAGATTTTGCCTTAACCAATCCAGGGATGAACAACCTTAATGTGTAGATGGTAGTAAAGGAAGGAATTTTTGCTGCCACCAAATTTAACAGAATTATGGCCCTTTGTTGATTTTTTCACTATCTACCATATATATTTTGTCAGTGGGGTCATCCGTGTCCTTTGGACACAGTTCTAGGTTCCATCTAAAGTGGTACCGAATAACGGACCCATTCACAATAACAAACAGTCTTTCACAATTTTCAGAGTGGGTCATTCGGACCCGTTTACAATTCTGCCAAAATTCACAATCTACATTAATTAAGCTTACAATTTGGGTTTTTTTTTCCGAATTTTTTTCTTACATAAGTGATTAAAGTCACAATTTGTCTTTGCGTTGATATAATGTATTGATGTATTGTCCAGTTAATGTCCGAAACGGCAAAATTTATATTCAACCAGAATCTTTCAATGAGATAAAACCCGACTAATTGGAATTTTGCGACAGTATTTTTGATTATTTAAAATCCGTGTACAATGATTTTTCAAAGCTGAATGAAATTAGATTTGTCTTGCAGTCATAAGGTTACCAAATTAAATGACAGACATTTTTCAGGGAACATATTATTCTGAACAAGTTGTACATTGCAAACAAATCTGATATGATCGAGCTAAACATCCGGTTTAAGTGTATCAGACAAAAAATACCCTCATGGTAAATTCTTTGTGAAACATCTGAAAAGGTTCATTTAGACATTTCGTGTAGATTTGGATATATTTTTTCCTCTTTTTCGCCGTACCGAACCCACACACAATTTAAGGAAAAAGTCGCTGATTTTAGACTACTGTCTAAGTAACTGTATCAGGTATACTGGTTCTATTATGAATACTGATGATAGGATAGTTAATGAAAATTTTTCACCCCAACATTGGAATGGAAAACTTAGGGGAAAATTGCTATCCCTACTTTGCACTGTTTATACATGTCATAATTTGGATGTACATTTGTTACTTATAGGGCAAAATTCAGAAGACCGCTTGAAAGCTATTATGCACTCCTTAAAAAAAAGAAAAATTGACAGTCAGAAGGTAAGTTTACCATCTTTATTTTTGTAAAGTGTGTTGCTCATAATTGTCCCTGCCTTTCTAAAGAAAAAAGGGGGATATAGAAATAGGCTCCGTTCGTCACACTTTCGTGTCCGGTCCATATTAACTTTGTCATTTATTAAAGGAATATGAAATCAGTTGGCACAAATGTTTGTTATAATAAGACAATGTGTCATGCGCAACAACCAGACCCCTACCTCCAGGGTCAAGGTCTCGCTTACGCCCTACCTCCAGGGTCAAGGTCTCGCTTAATTGGCACAAATGTTTGTTATAATAAGACAATGTGTCATGCGCAACAACCAGACCCCTACCTCCAGGGTCAAGGTCTCGCTTAATTGGCACAAATGTTTGTTATAATAAGACAATGTGTCATGCGCAACAACCAGACCCCTACCTCCAGGGTCAAGGTCTCGCTTAATTGGCACAAATGTTTGTTATAATAAGACAATGTGTCATGCGCAACAACCAGACCCCTACCTCCAGGGTCAAGGTCTCGCTTAATTGGCACAAATGTTTGTTATAATAAGACAATGTGTCATGCGCAACAACCAGACCCCTACCTCCAGGGTCAAGGTCTCGCTTAATTGGCACAAATGTTTGTTATAATAAGACAATGTGTCATGCGCAACAACCAGACCCCTACCTCCAGGGTCAAGGTCTCGCTTAATTGGCACAAATGTTTGTTATAATAAGACAATGTGTCATGCGCAACAACCAGACCCCTACCTCCAGGGTCAAGGTCTCGCTTAATTGGCACAAATGTTTGTTATAATAAGACAATGTGTCATGCGCAACAACCAGACCCCTACCTCCAGGGTCAAGGTCTCGCTTAATTGGCACAAATGTTTGTTATAATAAGACAATGTGTCATGCGCAACAACCAGACCCCTACCTCCAGGGTCAAGGTCTCGCTTGCTCATTCAAGATCAACATTGTCTATTTGAGGGTATATGTTGTGTCCGGTCCATAACTTTTTTATCTTTGAAGGGATTTTGTAAATACTTGTCACAATTGTTCACAATAATGAGATAATGTGTCATGTGCAACAATCTGTCACCTACCTCAAAGGTCTAGGTCACACTTGGAGGTCAAAGCTTAACATTCATTGAATTTCTTTTATAAATTTATTGTTGCATTTGCAGATCTAGCATTGATCATAATTTTGGACTAAAAGTCCTTTGATCCATACCGCAATCTTTTAAAATTATAAGCACAATTTAAAGCTAATCTTAAAAATCTTCCTTGAGGCGGGGGACGTTGGTAACTCTGTTAAAAATTCTTGTATAAATATGAAAATGGTTTCTAATCAATAACTAAAGGAGCTTGGAATAAGATATTAAGATCGAACATTGTATATTTTATAGGGCTGTAACAATACGGTAAAAAGCTTATTGCAATATATTGCAATACGCTACATCTGTAAGGCAATATATTGTGATACATATTGTTATTTATCTTAGGTACTGGGAAATAAAATTCAGAAAAAGAGACTTATATATTATTTCAACAAATATTATAATATTATATATCTATATCTATCGCAAAACAGAATTAGTGGATACTTTCCTTTAACAAACATTTAAACTGTTTCAACTATTGAAGCATCAACTATGAGTAACTTAACAGCAAAATAAAACTTTAAACACTTTTCATTAAGTGACTAACAATCTAAACTATATCCTAATGATTTTCTTAACACAGTTTCAGACTCGGATTAAATCACAGGGATTGAGTGACCGGGACAATTAATCTATGTTTTTCTTTAGAAAAATTAACATGTCTACTTTGTCAGCATCTAGTATTTAATAATTTCATGGGTCTCTCTTTTCCTTGTAATTGAATTTTTTATCAGATCGTAATTATTACCGTCTGAGATTATTCAAGCATTTGTGTACCCGCGCACCGTGTAATTTTTTTACCCTAACACCGTTTTTTTTACAAGCTTCCTACTTTCGGTTTGTTATTTTCTTTTGTGCGTAGGACATTTTCATAACATTTATTTATCAAGGAAAATATGGAAGACTTTCTTTCATTTATAGAGGAAATTATGGAACACTGTTATTACTAAATAAAACCGGTACAAGTAAATGTGAACCGCGGTACAATATATATTTATCCTGCACCGCAATATATCGGTGTACCGGTAAACTATTACAGCCCTCACATTTTATAGAGCAAGATTGCTTGGAGTGGTATTTTTGCTCCTTAGCGTCAAGGTCACTGTTATTAAAAATGATGTTACAAAATCATGTTTTGTATAACTTTTAAAATGGATTCTTACATGTCTAATTATTCTTAATACACATTAAAGGTTTAGGGCTTTAGAGGACAATTGACGTTTTTAAATTTAATGCTCATTGATGACTGCTCATTCTTGGACACACCAAAACATCATTATACTTTATGAGTAATTCCAATATGGCCTTGATTTTTTAAAGCCCGAAAGAATTTGGCATATATTGTCGGAGCCAAAACACCCTTCTTTGTAGAGGCTGAATATTATACTAAGGGCGGGCTTCCTCAACAAAACTACTCTCTCTTTTTTTCCCCAGTATGGTCCTCAAAATTCCCTAATCTTTTGAAATTTCCCATAAAATTTAGAACAAAATTAAATGATGGTGTTGAATTAAGGTTTTTTATTGCCTTATTAGTGCTTTTTGCTTTTCTATTTAAAAGTTTGTGTTAAATTTGAGACCCCTTTTGCCATGGAAAGTATGCCAAAATCACGCATATTTTCCCAAAGAAAAAGGCTGAGGCCCCTTTCCCCAAAAATGGTGTTTTGGCCCTGATTGTAATGTACTTGTTGGTCTGTCCATCTGTCAGTTTGCATGTCTGGTCTGTATCTCAGAACAGGTGGAAGAAAATTTTCTTCCAACCTACAAAATGCATAGCATACCAAAATTACAAATTTGTAATCAGTGTATTAAAGAATGTTTGTTATGCCCAGTATATTAATTATTGTTATGCTCACAGCTCTGTGTTTAATGGCTAACTTTATAGCTAAGTAATGATATTCCCCTAAATCATAGAAAACTTACTGATATTCTGAGAATTTAAGCCTTACATTTATATCTGTACATGTAATTGAAAACATTTTGAGGGAATAATTAAACATCTATTTTAAAAAATATCAACTGTTTTCCAAATTATTGTTTCCAGATACTCCGCAGATGAAGTTCTCCCTCAAACTGGTCATCAAGAAATTACAATTGGCCAATAATTACTGAGCTTATTAGTCCCCTACCGGTTTAGCCGGTATGAATATTTGGCATCTTATATGTAAAATTCCCAATTTGAGTCAAGCTTATGCATTTTTCCAAATCTGTTCAGTACTGACACCATTCCCAATGCAGGGGGAAAAAAAACAGTGCTGATAAAGCATTTTGATGGTAAGAAAAAGTTCAGTATTAATGGATCCAGATGTTTGTTGACCTGGTTTTATGGCATTGTCATGTATCTTGTTTTTGAGTTTGATTATAAATATATATGCGTTATAATAATTTTGATTGACATAATTAGAAACCCTCTTTAGAAGCTTTATAGGTTGTAAAAATCATGTACTATTTCAAGTTATCAAGAATAAAGTATCACACCATTTACATGGTGTTATTTAGAAAGTTTAAAAAGTATTGAATGTGGAGTAGGATAAGATATCAACAAATCAATTTCTATAACAATTCCTTTTTTTTTTTATTTCAGAGACCATCTCCAGCAAATCTTAAGTTCAGCATTGGATGGTTCAATTATAGTGCTAAACTGAAACGTTATGTAAATGTAAGAACTCACAAAGGAGGAGGTATACATTCAATTGAAGTTACAAGTCATAGTCCTTGCATATACGACCAAATAATGGAAAAGATGAAGGATCTTTTTTTCCCTAATGGGAAAAGTCCCCTAGGAAAAATCGCCTTATTTGATTTTACTATTGGAGACAATAAGGGGACAATTATAACTGAAAAAGCAAAAATTACAGACCACAGCCGTGTAAATTTGTTGTCTAAACAAAAGGTATGAATTTAATTATTCATCATTATTCATCAATTTCTTTTTGAAAGAATACTGGAAACAATTTATTATTTATCAATGTTTTGTTCTCCCTTTTTCTGTTCATATGAAATGCTTGACATTATTGAATGATATATTCAGTCAAAAGGCACTGTTAATTGATAAGTTTGACCTTTTTGAAGAAAAAAAGGAGAGCTATTGCTACAGTCCTGATATTGTTGCTGTTGCTTTCCGAAAACTTTATATAGGTCATAACTTTTTATTTCTCAATAGCCTTCATACTAGAAAACACAATAACCCTTTATATTTTATGTTGCCAAATGGTGACCTTTTAATTTTGAATCCAATTATTCACTGAATAGGACTAAATATACATGTATTTTATTTTTTCTTTTCTATCTGTGATACCATTTATATTAATGTTAATTTTTGTTGAATTATTTTTAATTGTTTTATTAGCTCACCTGAGCATATGCTCAGGGTGAGCTATTAAGATCACTCTTCGTCCGTTGTCCGTTCACACTTTTAAAATGACATCTCCTCTGAAACCATAAGGCAGATCATAATGAAACTTTACAGGGATGTTCCTTGTGTGAAGCCTTAACAAAGTTGTTCAATGAAATCCATTCATTGCAGAACTCTGGTTGCCATGGCAACCAAAAGAAAAAACTTTAAATATCTTCTTCTAAAAAACCCAAAGAGCTAGAGCTTAGGTATTTGGCATGAAACATTTTCTAGTGAGTGTCTACCAAGTTTTTTCAAATAAAAGCCCTGGGGTTAAAATTTGCCCCGCCCCAGGGGGTCATTGATTTTCCGTAAAAGCATATAGTAAAAACTTAAAAAATCTTCTTTTAAAGAACCCAAAGAGCTGGAGCTAAGATATTTAGCGTGAAACATCTTCTAATGGGTGTCTACCAAGTTTGTTCAAATAAAAGCCCTGGGGTCAAAATTTGCCCCGCCCCAGGGAGTCATTGATTTTCCCTATATGCATATAGTAAAAACTTTTTAAAGTTTCTTTTAAAGAATGCAAAGAGCTAGAGCTAAGACATGTTCTGATGGATGTCTACCAAGTTCGTTCAAATAAGAGCCCTGGGGTCAAAATTGCCCCGCCCCGGAGGTCATTCATTTTCCTTATATGTGTATGACAAAAACTTACAAAATCTTCTTTGAAAAAACTCAAATAGCTAGAGTTTAGATATTATTTTAGCACGAAGCATCTTCAAGTGAGTGTCTACAATGTTTGTTTAAATAAAAGCCCTGGGGTCAAAATTGGCCCGTCCCTGGGGTCATTGATTTTTCTTATAATTATTATTATGTGTATAGCTTTTCTTTGAAAAAACCTGAATAGCTAGAGTTCAGATATTAAACATGAAACATTGCCTAGTAAATGTCTACAAAGATTGTTCAAATAAAAGCCTCGAGGTCAAAACTGGCCCCAGGTGTGTCATTGTTTTTAACTATATGTGTTAAGAAAAAAACTTGAAAAAATCTTCTTTTAAAAAACCCAACAAACTAGACCTAAGATGTTTAGCATGAAGCATCTTCTAATGGGTGTCTACCAAGTTTGTTCAAATAAAAGCCCTGGGGTTTAAACTGGCCCCGCTCCGGGGGCCTATATACAGGTGAGCGACATTAGGGCCATCATGGCCCTCTTGTTTTTTCTTAAGTTTTTAAAATTGATAACTTTTTTTTGCCTTTAAATAAACCTTTTTAAACCCTTATTTTCTAGTTACTTAAATATGTCTGTCCCATATATTTTAAGATAATTTTCACATCAAGGAATATTTTTATACCCCAGCAAAACAAAGTTGTAAGGGGGCAATAACTGAATCAGCTTGTTGGGCGTCCGTCAGTTTTTCCTTGTCTGCCTAATAACTTGAGATTCCTTTGACCCAAACTTTTCATATTGGTATGTAGGACAATCATAATCAATAGATGACCCCTATTGATTTTGAGGTCACTGGGTCAAAGGTCAAGGTCACAGATGCCTTGACTGAAAAAAGCTTGTCTGCATCCTTTGACCCATAGTCTTCATATTTGGCATGGATGTTTGTCTAGATTAGTAGATGACCCCTATTGATTTTAAGGTCTCTGGGTCAAAGGTCAAAAGTTCATTAATTAAAAAAAAGCCTTTCCCCCCCCCCCCCCCCCCCCCCCCCAATAACTTCAGACATTTCTTTGACCCACAGTCTTCATGTTTGGCATGGATGTTAATAGGAGATGACCCCTATTGATTTTGCGGTCACTGAGTCAAAGGTCAAGGTCACAGGTGTCTTGACTGAAAAAAGCTTGTCCGCCCAACAACTTAAGATTCCTTTGACCCACAGTCTTAATATTCACAGTCTACCATTTCCTAATAATCAAACATGTAAATATTTTTGGTTTAATTACAACTTTTTATTTTGAAAAAGAAATATTATTCTAAAACCTATTGTATAATTTTGATATATTTATGTATTTAAATGTAATGTTGACAGAACCGTTTTTGTATGTTGTTGATTTTCATTTCTGATGAAGATGTATTAATGATGAAACTAATAGAATTTGCTGTCTGGATTTTTTTATATTTTAACAGTCTTGGGACTTAATTATAAAAAAATATATGCAACATTTTGCTAACTCAGTGTTTCTGACGCTTATAATCTTCAATGGATTTGCTTTAAATTTATCAAGATGTGTAATTTAAAGTCATTTTGAAAAAGAAATGGAAAGTTTCAGTATTTCAATTGTTAGCTGTCCATATTAAAAGAATTTAACTGCAAATCCTTGAACAAAAATTGATTCTGTTTCAGGCAATTACCATAGACGATGATAGTGACAGTGACTTTGACCTGCCTGAAATCAGTTTTAGCAGGGTAAGGTACTTAAGATTTGTTAATTTTTACAGATGCATTAAGAAATCATTTCAACTATAAAGCATAATAAACAAGTTTGGTATGGACAAACACAAAAACATATTTCTTAAGGAATCCACTTCATATTTCAAATATATGTTTCTGTTCATAATCCACATCTTATGTGACAAGGTTCATAACTCTAGCATTAATATTGCAAGAACAATCTGCCCATGAATATAAATTTTTTCACGTTAAAAATTTTATTTTTTACTCTAACTTCTTTAGTTTTAAAGGTTTCTACTTCAAACATCAAATACATTTTCCTTATCATCAACCATTATATCTTATGTGACAATGTTCATAAGTCTGTGGAAGCAAAATTTTCAGATTTATATCTCTTTGAAATTAGAATTTTCTTAAAGAAATATAATAACTTCTTTATTTTTTTATACCTCCAAAAACGAAGTTTGGGGGGGGGGGGTGGTATATAGGAGTTACCCGGTGGTCGGTCGGTCCAGCGGTCCGTTGCATTTTCCTTGTCCGGAGCATAACTTGAAGACTAATGGTTGGAATTTAATACAACTTCATACAATTGTCAAGCACAATAAGGGGAAGTGCAGTGCACAAGAACCATAACTCCATCTTGACTAATTATAGAGTTATTGCCCTTTGTTACTTTTCCATTGCTTTTTTGTCTGGAGCATAACTTCAAGACTAATGGTTTGAATTTATTATAACTTCGTACAATGGTCAAGCACAATAAGAGGAAGTGCAGTGCATGAGAACCATAACTCCATCTTGACTAATGACAGAGTTATTGCCCTTTGTTACTTTTCTTGGTCTGGAGCATAACTTGAAAACTACCTGTTGGAATTCAATACACCTTCATGCAATTGTCAAGCAAATTAAAAGGAAATGCAGTGCACAAGAATTATAACTCCATTTTGACAAATTACAGAGTTATTGCCCTTTAATACTTTTCCTTGTCTGGAGCATAACTTAAAACATACTGGTTGGAATTTAAAACAACTTCATACAATGGTCAAGTACAATAAGTGGAGGGGGCGTCCGTGGCCGAGTGGTTAAGGTCGTTGACTTCAAACCACTTGCCCCTCACCGCTGTGGGTTTGAATCCCGACAGGGACTTTGGATCCTTTCATGTGAGGAAGCTATCCAGCTAGCTTACGGAACGTCGGTGGTTCTACTCAGGTACCCGTTCGTGCCTGAAATAATGCACGGAAGGGCACCTGAGGTCTTCCTCCACCAGTAAAGCTGGAACGTCGCCATATGACCTATACTGTGTCGATGTGACGTTAAACCCAAAACAAAAAACAAAAAAACAAAAAAAAACAATAAGTGGAAGTGCAGTGCACAAGAACCATAACCATTGTGACTAATACGAGAGTTACTGTCCTTTGTTACTATTTGTCTGGAGCATAACTTGAAAGCAACTACTTTTTTAATTCAAAACAACTTCATACAATGATCAAGCACAAGAACTATAACTCTGTCCAGAGTAATTATAGTTATTGCCCTTTGTTACTTTTCCATTGCTTTTTTCTTGTCCAGAGCATAACTTGAAAACTACTAGTTGGAATTCAAAACTATTTCATATAATGGTCAAGTATATTGAGAGGAAGCACAGTGTACAGAAATCATAACTCTTTTTTGACTAATTTAAAAGTTTTTGCCCTTTGTAAATTTTTATTGTCCAGTGCATAACTTGAAAATTAATGGTTGGAATTCAATGAAACTTTATACAATGTCAAGGGCAGTGAGATGAAGTGCAGTGCACAAGAACAATAACTCTATTTGGACAAATTACAGTTATTGCCTTTGTTACTTTATTTTGTCCAGTGCATAACTTGAAACTAGTAGTTGGAATTCAATACAACTTCATACAATGGTAAAGCACAATGAGAGGAAGTGCAGTGTACAATAACCATAACTCAATCTTCAGTATTTAGTAGAGTTAGAGTAGAGTTATTGCCCTTTGTTCCTTTTCCTGTCTTTCTGGACTTATTACAGAATAAACCAATAAAACTTTATCAATGGCCAACCACATTGAAAGGAAATGCAACAAGAACCTCGACTATATTTAATTGCACACAACCATAACTCTATTTCAATTCTTTTACAAGGTATTCTGTAACTAGTAACATCCTCATTTCCGAAGCAGACTTGCAGGGGGTATTAATCACATTTAGTGATAGTTCTAGTTCTATTTATAATGATTTCATTTTAGTTTTTTCTATTTGACTACATCAAACTTCAAATTAATATTTTGTATCATTACCAAAATGCTGTATGACAAAGTTCATAACTCTAGCATGACTTTTCCAGAATATTTCCCCCTTGAACTTGGAATTTATGTTAACAAATATAATTGTCCCCCACCTTTTCGAAGAAAAAAAGGGGGATATAGAAATAGGCTCCGTCTGTCTGTCTGTTCGCACTACCGAATAGGGATAAGGGGCCATATAACTGTAAACAGAACAAAAGAGAACAATAAGAGTTCATTCCATAACAATAGAATATTTCTGAACCATTGGCCCTCTATTAAACAATAGAAAATAACAAAAGAAATGGCCCCTTACAATGTTTCTGCCAGACTTGAATTTTTTGGGGTCATGCATTTGTGACTATATACAAATATGGGGGTCATTTGAAATTATTAAGGGTCAAATTTTAAAAAAAGTAAAAACTACAAAAGTAAACATGTTTACTTCAATTTTTCATTTTTTGCGGATGCAAACAAAAAATCTTTTAAGGTAGAACCAAGTCTTATTTGCATTAAAACATTTAACCTGTCATACATCTCTTTATGCAGAAAGTTTGATATTTTTTACCACTAAAGCAGAGATGTAGATAACATTGTTATCTATGTCACTGACTAAAGCCCCTATCTTTTGTGAGAAAAGCGTCTGCATGCACAAATCGCTCGATATTCACCCTGACCATGCATGTCTAAATCCTGGATACTGTGACTGATTGTAGAATGGTTAAATGAGCGTGCCGATAACGACACAGAATAGGTTAGCAAATTATACATACCTGCAGTTACAGGAAATTAATAAATTTCGGATGGCCATTTTGATACTCAAACAATAATTGCCGATTTTAACAGGATGGCGCTAATAATAGGAGAAATAACTTAATGAAAATCCATCTAATTACATATAAGGCAGATTATGACTGCGTCATAGAAAACGTGCATTGCCTTTTCCAATACGTCATTCATGAAATTATTGCGTCAAAAACACAAGAAACGCAGAGTAGCAGAAACACTTATTCCATTTCAGCCAGACGTCCTTCTTCCCATCTCACAGTGCGTCCGTCCATCACATTTTCGTGTCCAGTCCATAACTTTGTCAATTATCAAGGAATTTGAAATAACTTGGCACAAATGTTTGTTATAATAAGATGATGTGTCAAGCGCAACAACCAGACCCCTACCTCCAAGGTCAAGATCACACTTGCTCATTCAAGGTCAACATTGTCTATTTGAGAGTATATGTCATGTCTGGTCCAAGACCAAATCCAAATATTAATAACACTCAACAGAACAAATTGATTTTAGGACATTATTACTAGTTCAAAGCTTTAAAATGATATTTTAGATACAATATAAGATCTAACGTGTGTCATTGAAAACCACTTATTTATAAATAATGAGATTTTATGTTTATTTCAGCAAGAACATACAGTTAAGCGACAACAGACTGTGCAAGTATGTTGAATTTTTTTGTTGCTGAAACTTTCTTGTCTGTAACTGCTAATAAAACTTCTATGGTAATTGATGATTAATTGCTAATACAAATAGATGAGAACAATTATAAGTTTAGTAATTTTACAGTTAGTTAAGTTTAACATACTTATTTTAGCTTGATTGTGAAACAAGTCCACAAATTATATAAATTACTTTTGAATATGCTTCTGTTGAATGACTGTTGTTGAAAGATTGCAATCTTGGATCTAGCTTCAAAGTTGTCTTTTTCATATGTTGTTGCAGAATAATAGTGGATTGGATATGATAAGTAATCGAAACACTGAACAGACAACACCTCTGCTCCAGGTAATTTGACAACTTACAAATCAAACTTCTGATAATGAACAACATTCGGTCATGCCTTTCATATTGATGCAGTGAGATTATCTCATAATAATAAATCACAATGTTAATGTCCATCTAAATCCTAGCCCAAAAGGGAGAGCATCAGATTAGCTGGTTTCGATCCTTTGCCATTTCATAAGTTTAACCTTTTTTTTTTAAGGCCCCAGAAGGGCATCATACAGTAATTGCACGGTCCATCAGTACAGTAATCTTGTCTGCGCTTCATCTCAAAAACTGCTAGGAGCATTTCAATGAAACTTATCACAGGATTGATCAGTACCATTCCTAGTTGTGCATAATGCAGGCATGAATTGCTCAGCTTGACGAAATGGAGGCCAGAGCTATAAATAGTAAAATCTTGTTATACCCCCGCACAACAAAGTTGTAAGGGGGGTATACTGGAATCAGATTGGCCGTCTGGCGTCCGGCTGTCCGGCAATCCGTCGGTTTTTTCTTGTCCACCCAATAACTAAAGATTCTTTTGACCCACAGTCTTCATATTTGGCATGGAGGTTAGTCATGATTAGTAGATGATCCCTATTGATTTTGAGGTCAAAGGTCAAGGTCACAGGGGCCTTGACTTCAAAAAGCTTGTCCGCCCAATAACTTAAGATTCCTTTGACCCACAGTCTTCATATTTGGCATGGCATGGAGGTTAGTCATAATTAGTAGATGACCCCTATTGATTTTGAGGTCACCAGGTTAAAGGTCAAGGTCACAGGGGCCTTGACTTCTAAAAGCTTGTCCGCCAAATAACTTAAGGTTCCTATGACCCACAGTCTTCATATTTGGCATGGAGGTTAGTCATGATTACATTTTACATTTGCTCATACACTTCTAAACTAGAATAAATGAAATTTTAGTAGTGATATTTAAATAAGGCAATCGGGTATTAAAGAGGTATTCTGGCATAATATTTTATTGCAGATTGTATGTCAAAGCCAAAATTTTTGGAGACATATTGTTTTTGCCTTTGCCGTCTGTCTGTTTGTCCATCTGTCCAGTTGTCGGTCTGTCGTCATTAAGCTTGTCCGCCCTTCACAGGTCAAACTACTGGTGGGATTTCAACCAAACTTTACAGGAGTGATCAGTACCATCCCTAGTTGTGCACAATACCGGCATGTTTCACTTTGCTGCACGAAATGGCTGTCAGCGCAATAAATAGAAAAATCTTGTCCTGCTTTCACAGGTCAAGCTACTGGTGGGATTTCAATAAAACTTGACATGAGTGACCATACATAGTTTTGAGATATGTTTTGTGACAAAAACCTTTCTTGTTCATTACATGTTGAGCATTTGCTTCAATATTGTATTTATTGTTTTAGAGTGTGTCAGTGACAAGTGGTAATACATATGTAAGTGCAGGTACACCAACGGTAAGTAGCAGAATCTTTTGATAAAATATGTCTAGATAAAACAGGACAGGCATTTCAAAAGCTTTTTCTAAGAGTAGACTTAAAATGCATTCAAGAAAACATGTTTCATAGTTTACCAACAAGAAAGTTTTGAAATTTTGTTAATTTATGTATACTGTCTTTCTGTTGGAATGGTATATGCTAATAGTAATTTGACCTCGATAGTCAGAGGAATGACAAAGGGTCAACATCATGGCTCACATATATTTATATTACTTTTCTCACATTGTGATATCTTTTTGCTTGATAATAAGTTTTATAAATATTAAATAATTATTACTGTGCAGTTCAAAATGGAAAAAAACTATTCCTGATCACAATTTGTAAAATGTATTTTTGACTTTCTGAAAACAACATGAATATAGTCATTGTATAATATATACATTGAATTACTTAATTTTAATAAAATTTATTTTTAGGTGTCCTTCAATATTGACAACAACAGATGTACAATCTGTTACGAGAGAAACAAGGAATCTTTCTTTATTCCGTGTGGACATACTGTATGCACAGTATGTGCAGTAACACAGCAATCAGGAAATTCTTCATGCCCATACTGTAGGGCCACCATCCAAGGAATCGGAAATATACACAATTAACTATGCCACCACAGCATCTGCGATGCGATGGCATATAGCGATTCACCTGTGTGTGTGTTCTATAGATTATAAATTATAGTGAACTTAAAAAATCTTGCAGAAAACCACTTGTCCAATTTCAACCAAACTTGGCAGGATTGATCCTTGGGTGAATGGCTTCCAAAATTGTTCATTCCATGCAGAAATCTGGTTGCCATGGCAACCAAAAGGAATGATAAGAATAAATTAAAAAAATCGTGTGAAGACCCAAAAGGCCTAGAGGTTAGATATTTTGCATAAGGCATTGTCTGGTAGACATCTACCATGATTGTTCAAATTATAGCCCTGGGGTCAAAATCGGCCCTGTCCCAGGGGTCATTGATTTTCACTATATGTACATATAGTATAAACTTGAAATACCTTCTTGTCTGAAGGTACAATGCTAAGAGATTTGGTATATGTAATTATCTATAAGTACGCTACCAAAGTTATACAAATTATGCCTCTAGTGTCAAAATCAGCCCCACCCGGGGTCATAGGTTTTCCTTATATGTTTCTAGTAAAAACTTTTAAAAAAGATTCTTCTAGCATTTGACAAATGCTAAAGGTTAGATATTTTGCATGAAACATTGCGTAGAGAACCTCTACCAATATTTTTCAAATTATAGCCCTGGGGTCAAAATTGGCCCCGCCCCGGGGGTTATTGATTTTCAATATGTAAATATAGTTAAAAAAATCAAAAAATCTTATTGTCACAAGGCTTGGAGCTTTAATATTTGTTATATGATATCATCTATAGGTACTCTACCAAAGTTGTTAAAATTTTCCCCTCGTGTCAAAATTGGCCCTGCCCAGGGGCATTGATTCTCATTATGTACACATAGTAAAACAGAAACTATAACAAATGTTTTCTGAAATGGAGAAAGCTACAGCTTAGATATTTGACATGAAATGTTGTTTGGTGGACCTGTATCAAGATTGTTTTGAATTAAACCCTTGGGTCAAAATTTTGCCTTGCCCAAGGGGACAGTGACCTACTTTCTTGTCAATGAAATTTTGACCATGTGCACAGTTTTAGTTGTAAAATTGAACTTTGATATCAGGTGACCTAGATTTTGATGATGTGACCTACTTTCTTGACCTTTGATGTACAGCTGTGAAATTTGAACCATGTGCACAGATTAAGATGTAAAGTGAACTTTATCAGCTGACCTAGATTTTGACATAGTGTCTTACTGTGTTGTCCTTTGATGTAGTCATGAAATTTGAAATTTAGACTGTGTGAAATATGACCTTCACCACCAAATTCACTAGACTCCACAGCATTGATATTTTCCTTCTCTGATCTTTTTTTTTATAACAATAGATTTAACCACTAATCTGATAATAAGAATTAGATAGGTCAGGGATCTATGCATTATGACAATCTTCAATTGTATAGAAACAAAAAATCTGTTCCTATTTAGTGTTGTATTAATGTGGTGGCATAGCATTTTTTACAAATGCAATCTTGTTTGTGGAAATGATTTAGATTAATACTTGGACAGACTAGAAAGACTTTAAAAAAAGGAAAGGAAAAAATTTGTATTTCTAATTTTCTCATTATAAATTTTTTTAATCTGTTTATGCTTGCTTTAAGAAAAAGCAATTGCTTTACTGAAATAATTGGATTCAGCTGGGTAGCTTTCAAAGAATTTAAATCTTTCTGTTCATATTTGTCACGCAACATTGAATTTTCATGAAAGTTTTTTATTTTTGTTTGTTTGGTATAACTTCTTTATGTCTTAATGTATCTAATTCAAACTTCAATTGTGTATTTTGATCATCACTCAAATTATGTGAGAGATTCAATACTCGTGCTTGACTTTAAGTCTAGCAGCTTTATAATCCCCCACCGAAAGGGGGGGATATAGAAATAGTCTCCATCTGTCCGACATTTTTGTCCCGAGCATATCTCAAAACGTATTTGAGGTATCAACTTGAAACTTCATAAGTGGATAGATCCCATTGAGGAGCTGTGCAGCACATATACATGATAACCTACCCTGCACTATTTTTTCAGTTATTGCCCTTTGTTATTTTCAGGCGTCCGTATTCACATAGGTTTCAAATCTGTAATCACTTTCATTACCAAAAGACCTCTTAAAATTTAATTATTCTGCTCAACTACATATACATTCTTCCAATGAGCAAACACATTTGATGGGGGATTGCCATGTTAACATGGCTCTTGTTTCAAAGAGTTATCTCCTTTTAGCTTAAGAATTTAAAAAAGTTATATTCTGGTTACACCTAGATAGCCCTCTGTCTAAATAAATTTATTGTTGCATTTGTCGACCTAGCATTGATAATAATTTTGGACTTAAAGTCCTGAGATTCATACCTCAATCTTTTGAAATAGCACAATTTTATGCTTCATATAAAACTTCCCTGAGGCAGGGGTAACTCTGTTACAAATTCTTGTTTCATAGATAGTATGTATTAAGTAGTTACTGTGTTAGTTTGAGAGGGTATGAAATAAACATCCCTTTGTGATGCATTAGATTTAACCATTTATAGAAGTTTTTATGAGGTTTTTGAAGAGTATTTTGGAATTAACATTTCAAAAGCCCCTTATTGTTAAGAAAACCCTGAAATTTTTACCAAGTTTAAACTTATTTATCTGATGTGAAGTGTTAATGATATTGTTTATTTTTTCCTCATAAGTGGGCTGGAAACAGTTGTGTTTTACGACCTTGAGGTAAATCCAGTTATAATTATAGCTATTTAGTCAATGTGTATATAGCAAGAAACATAATGTCAAACAGATTTATCATTTTGCTGCTATCAGTAACCTTGGGAGAGTTGAAGATTAATTCAGCCTTCAAATTGAAAGTATTTAATGTTTTAATTGACATTTATATAGTTTTAAATTCAGTTGTGTATGAATAAATGTATGTTTCATTTTGTTTTGTTCCTTATCAAGAATTCATCATAAAAAAGCAGTTGTTGTGTTATAAAAATATTAAAGTCTTATTTCAGGCAAACTCAATTTCAAGTAAATTTTGACTTTGATAAAATGATGGCTTATTATTCAAACAAGTTTATAATCTAGAAAGGCCTTTTATTGAATTTTTAGGTCATCTGAAATTGTTACCTAGAAAGAAATTAGACCTTAAAATAGTCTTATTCAGAATTATTTAAAATGATAAGTTTGCAATGTTTATTTTTTTGTACATGATAATAGCAATGTTTATTTTTTTGCACATTTTTGTACATGATAATAATTATTTTGTGACTTTGTCATCTGGTGTATATTGCCTGCCTTATGGGAGCTCCGTTTTATTTTGTGTTGTGTTCAAGAAGCAGTGTAGTTTAAATGACATTTAATTAAATAATCACTCCATTTTTATCCCCCCCCCCCGGGCATATAGTAATTGAACTGTCCGTATGAGGTTTACCTAAAATAGCAAGTTCATACTTCACACACTTACTTACCAACACAATGAACATGATCTGGGCAAGTTACATAACTTTGGCTTCCATTTTTACCAAGTTATTGCCCTTTTCAGCACTTAGAAAATGAATAATTTGTTAACGTAAAACGGGAAGTTGGAAATATCTTAAGTTCTATCTATACTAATAGCTTCATAATTACCACACTGACTTATCAATACAAAGTACATAATATTGCCAAGTTATATAAATACCATCCATTTTTCCCAGTTATCTTCCTTTTTATCAGTTGAAAATAGGGCCTTGTAAGGTTAACCTATTCGGCAAGTAAGATTTATCTTAATTTCTCCTAATAACTTCATTTTTTTTAATGATATCTTTCGTATTTGGTAGGTGCATACTTTAAATGGACCTCTATTTTTTAATGGAGTAAGGGGTCCCTAGGTTCAAGGTCACTTTTGTGAAAAACAAATTTAAACATTTTTGCTTATACAGCCTTTATTTTTTAAGTTGATGTCATTCATGTTTAATACAAACTGCTAAGGGAGGTCCTCTTCCTTTGGATTTAGGTAGGGGTCATTTGGGTCAATGTCACCAATGTCAAAGCAAGATTTTTTTACTTTTACAGGCATATTTACCTTTTTCTATTGACAGATTTCTCTTATGTTTGGTAGGAATATAAAAACAAAATTCTCCGAATGGAGTTTGGTCGAGGTCACCATTGCTTAAAATAGATTTTTACACTTTTGCTCATACAGGCTTTATATATTGACAGATGCCTTTCATATTTGGTTGGAAGATAAAGTGCATGGCACTCTTTTTTCAGATTGAGGTAGGGGTCAAGGTCTCCAGTGCTAAAAATAGATTTTTTCACTTTTGCCCATAATTATAGCCTTTATTTATTGATAGATTTATTTCATCTTTGGTAGGAAGATAACTTGCATAGTATTCTTCCTTCAGATGGAGTTAGGGGTTAGTTTGGTCAAGGTCACAAGTGCTAAATAAAGATTTTTACACTTCTGTCCATACAGCCTTTATTTATTGACAGATGTATTTTATATTTGCAAGGAAGATAACTTACATGATATTCTTCTTTTTGATCAAAGAAAGGGTCATTGGGTCAAGGTCATTTGACATGTTTATACGTAGATATGATAAAGTTGAATATTTTTCAACTTCATCACACAAGTCATAGCAATGACTTGCCAACTTAAATTTTTTACAATTACAAAACGCTATAATGACTGTCATGATTTTAAGCTCAACGATACGAAGTATATGGAGAGCTGTCCTACTTTCCCCGGCTTTCAGATTAAAGTTTTAGTGAAGTAAAATATTTTTCACTATAACATTTTCTTTTCTTAAGGTATCAACTTTAAACTTCAAATATATGTTCCTTATCACCAACTACATCTTATGTGACATGCTTCATAACTCTAGCACCAATATATTAGATTTATCTCCCCTTGAACTTAGAATTTTCCTTAAAAAAAATTATTTTACTGTTACTTATTTATTTTGCCCCCGCCATATAATGGCAGGGGCATCATAGTGTTACCCTATTCCGTCCTTCCGTCATCATCAGTTTCTGTTCATTATCTTAATAACCGTTGCATATATTGAACTCAAATTTGACATATAGATATGTCATGAGAAAATACAGATCGTGTTCGAAATTGGTCATGGTTTGATGATTTTTGGCAGAGTTATGCCCCTTTTACTTTGAAAATAATATGAAATTTTCAGTTTCTGTTTATTATCTCCCCAACGGTTTCCTTAATTCAACTCAAACTTGACATATGGATATATCATGAGAAAATACAGGTCAAGTTCGAAATTGGTAATGGTTTGATGATTTTTGGCAGAGTTATGCCCCTTTTACTTTGAAAATAATATGAAATTTTCAGTTTCCGTTCATTAACTCCCCAATGGTACAACACATTCAACTCAAACTTGACATATGGATACGTCAAAGGAATTTGCAGGTCAAGTTCAAATTTGGTCATGGTTCGATGATTTTTGGCAGAGTTATGCCCCTTTTACTTTGAAAATAATATGAAATTTTCAGTTTCCGTTCATTATCTCCCAAACAGTATAATTACACATTCAACTCAAATTTGACATATGGATATGTTTTTCGAATGCTCAGGCCAAGTTCGAATTTGGTCATGGTTTAATGATTTTTGGCAGAGTTATGCCCCTTTCACTTTGAAAATGATATGAAATTTACAGTTTCTGTTCATTATCAACCCAACATTGTTACATATTCAACTCAAAATTGACATATTGATATGTCAAAGGAATGCGCAGGTCAAGTTGGAATTTGGTCATGGTTCGATGATTTTTTGGCAGAGTTACGTCCCTTTCACTTTGAAAATGATATAGATACATCATAGGAAGAAGCAGTTTAAGTTTGAATTTGGTCGTGGTTCAATGATTTTGGACAAACGTATCTTTCCTGAATGTTGGAAAAATTTTGAACTTTCAGTTTCAGCACTCATACTTTTGTGGAAATGTATATAGCCATTATTTTGGCTACAAATATGTAATATGCTCAAAGGTCAAGACTGAATAATTTCAGTGCCTTGAACATTGTATAAAAATGGTTTGTGTTAACATTGAAAAGTTTTAAGGGCTTTGAACTTAAAATGAAAAAAATAATTTGTGCAAACAAATTTGGAACTAAATATTATAACATTTGAAATTTTGGCTGCATGCGGGGGAATCCATGGCATGATGACACATTTCTAGTTTAAAAAGTGATCCACTTCAGGTTTCAAATATATGTTTATTACCATAAACTACATCTTATGTGACAAGGTTCATAACTCTAGCACCAATATTTTTTTATTTATCTCCCCTTGAACTTAGAATTTTCCTTAAAAAATACTATTTTTTACTGTTTCTTCTTTATTTCTTAAGGGATCCACTTCATGCATCAAATATATGTTCCTTACCATCAATATGTGATAAGGTTCATAACTCTAGCACAAATATTTTCAGATTTATCTCCCTATGACCTGAAAATTTTCCTTAAAAAATACTATTTTTAACTGTTACTTCTTTATTTCTTAAGGGATCAACTTCATACTTCAAATATATGCTCCTTATCATGACCACATGTTATGTGACAAGGTACAAAACTCTAATTCTAATATTGCAATTTATCTCCCCATAAACTAGATTTTCTTTACTTGAAAAATGTTATTTTTTACTATAACTGCTTTAGTTTTAAAGGTATCTTCCTCAAACTTCAAATACTTATTCCTTATCATCAATTACATCTTATGTGACAACGTTTATAACTCTTGAAACAACGTTTTCAAATTTATCCTTCTTTGAACTTAAAATTTTCTATAGGAAATATTAAAACTTCTTTACTTTTTAAGGTATCTACTTCAAACTTCAAATATATATTTCTTATCATTACACACATGTTGTGTGACAAGGTTTGTAACTCTAGCATGACTATTTCTAGAATTATTTCCCCTTGAACATGGAATTTATGTTAACAAATGTTTCGTATTTTAACTATAAATTAATACATAATTATACATAATTGATTTTTCTTTCATAGGTTTTTCTTCCTTACTGCGTCCAGTTTTTTATTAGTCGAGCTTCGCTGTCTCCTGTGACAGCTCTTATTTTTCACTATTTTCCTTCCTTCACTGAATGAATGGTTAAATGTTTTTTTGAAATATTGTTACTGACAAGAATCTGAGCTGGGAGCATTTGTGTTTAACAAATACATTCTTGTTTTTTTTTAATTTTTCACTTATTTTTCACTTTTTTGTCATTATTTTTACCTTTACTCTTTTGAAGAAAAAAAGAGTTATTGCTACAGTCATTTTGTCATTGCTATTATTATCATTTAAGACTTAAACGTTTGTCATATTTTTGCTTTCTCAATGGATCACCTTAATACTTGAAACAACTATCCTTTGAACAAGACCTTCATGTTGAGTAGACTGAAGTTGACCTCACCCATCAATTACAATTATCAAGGGGTTTTGAAAATATTTAGCACAATAATGAGATGACAGTCATGCAAAACACCCAGACCCTGAACTTTTTTTAAGACAGATTTCAACTATCACTAGTTGGGTTTTCTTTACCATCTAGAAAAATTATAATGTTGGCAATTATTTTTCTATTCTGTAATGGATAGTCTTTAAATTTAAATACAAGAACTACTTCATGTAGACCAGACTGAACTTTATGTTGACTTATTATAGATTACCTGACCTTGAAGGTCAAATGCTTTCATATATTTGATTTTTACTTTAGCTATAACTTTGTTATATATGAATGAACTGTCTTCATAATTGGACAAAAATCCTTTGGACATGAGCTATAAGTAGATAAGATTGATTGACATTCACTAACTTCAATTTGTCCTTAAGACAATAGAACACATTACAGAACCAACATGTTGAATTATTTTGATATGACCTTGACCCTTAATTTACCTTGTCCATAAAGGCCAAATTATCAGAATTTGCTTGAATTGTTATTTAGGCCTAAAATAAAATATAATTTGTTTGCCCTCCCTTTTTTAAACATAAAACTTGGAAGCAGAGAGTGTCAGTAAAAAATTACATCTTTATATTTGTCTTATCTTTTTTAATAGTAAATATACCATAATGAATGTACATGTATGTTGAATAAACTAAAAATTTGGTTTTTATTTTTAAACACATGCTAAACAGTCACAATTTGTGTTAACTCCACATAATTTTGATAAAAAAACAAAATATTTTATCAACTATCTTCCCTACCCAAACTGGCATTGGTGGTGGAAGAGTTAACAAAGATATTTCTAAGGCTTGCCCTTTTTATTGACATTATTCATAATTGAACCCCCTACCCCCCACCCCACACACCAAATAAAAGGAAACATGACAAGACCCAAATGTTGTATTATTCTGATATGACTTTGACCTTTAATTGACTGTGACCATAAGGTCAATTTTTTGAAGTTGCTAAAACTTTCATTACTTTATTTATTAATGGATTTGATTTAATACTTGGACAAAAAACATGACATAACTGAAATGTTGATGTATTCTTATATGAATTTTACCTTTAATTGACATTGACAGTCAAGGAGCCTTCATTGAAACTTTCTTGATTGTCATATATTGGTTATTTATCTATAGATTTGATTCATTATTGGGCAAAAGAGCACCTATGACAAAGCTGATGATTCATTCTAACGTGACCTTGACCTTTGAGTAACCTTTACCACCAAGGTCATATATGATTTTTTTTTTTTTTGGTTTTTGTAAAGGAAAAATGTTTTTTAGGACTTGTCTTTATTATGATGTGTTGATATCAGAAATACAAAAGTTGAGTGAGGTCTTGCTATATGTTGGCTCAATTTTGAATTAAGATAGTTATGTTAGTTTAGTAACACATGTGACTCTTATTTTTTAGGGGAACTTGTTCTAATTTTGTGTTATTACTTTTGTGATTTGCTGAAAACATTTTGCTCATATGGTGCGATTTTAGAAGACACACACACACACACACACACACCTACTCACACACACATTTTGCAGTTATCAATAATCCAAGAATACACAGGAATACACCCTTGTACTTAAGAAACCTAGTATTTCATGGTTAGTTTCCGACTATTTTTATGATGTTTTATATGCACTGTAATTAGTTTGTTAACTAGTAAAGTCTCGTATGAGAAGGGTCATATATATGTCTTTAATTAGATTGTTTTTATGATTAGATACTTGTATACATATGAAAGAGGCTAGAATAAATATATCAGCACCATCCTCTTGTTTTGTTCATGATACCTCTCTTGAATAAATCTTGGACACTATTTTCTACTTCAAGCCGTTTGTTTATAAATGAAAATCTTTCAGGTAGTGGTTAGCCAGCATTTTACTATTGAAAACAAAGACATTTTCTGCTGAAAAAATACTTGTTTCACAGAAATATACATTTTTGAGACCTTCATCAAATATTTTACACATGCAGGGGAATGAGAGGATATGGAATGAGTACAGGTTTGATAAATACTTAATTGAACTCGAGTTATATCATCAACAAGCACTATGTCGAGGGTGCACTACATTGCATTGTAACAAGGGACCACTTACCCTGTAGTTTATCTCCGAGATAGTCGCGTGAAACAAGGTTTTTTTAAAAAAATAATTTTATCACTACAGTAGGATATGAAAGGGATTTTTATAAAGTTATATGCGTTCAATGAGTTTGCTCAGGGTCTTTCAGATATTTGAAAGACTGGTTTGCTTGAGTAACAACTCTACATGAATTTCCCAATTCCGACAAGATTATTTTCTTTTATCACTAATGACGTGGAAGAAATTTTGTGATTCCAGAAAAAAAAATTCTGAGTGCATTAAGGTTGCTGGCTTGTGTTATATATCTGATTTTTTGCGGTTGAACGGTGGGTTTTAAACTGTATATACTAGTACGAGTCGATGCTAAATGAGGGTTCAACCGCCCGTTAAAGCACAAACAGTCGAGTACGGACCCGGACATGATACCAGTCATGCCAGTAAGAGGTAATTTTGAAGCACAAAGTGGTAATTTACCTCAGCAATTTCCACAGAGTATTACTTTGAGCACGTTAACTAACCAGTGACAACGAGAAGGGAAGTAAGGTTGTTAAAAGGGTTGTCATGAAATGCAGCCGGCGTTCATAGAATCGATATTGATGATGAAGTCTATGCTGAATGAAGGTCCATCCGTCCTTTCAACCGCCATTGTTTACAGGCGTTTATAATAATAATACACGTCTATAACGTCACTTTTATTAGTAAGCTTTCATTAATGATTCACATGCAAGGCCGCTGTCAATTATGAAAAATATTTTCTTTTAACGTCAGACTTGTCGTTTAAAAGATGTTCGACAGGTTATACAGTCATAAATTAATCGCGAATACATTAAAAGATATAACCAGAGCCTAGCTGTTCAAATTATAAAAGCATCCTGTCGTTATTAGCGGGTCATTTACTTATAACTAATAGAATAAGTCTGAGTGCCCATAGATAACTGAGTCAAAAGTCTTGAGTTTGATCTCACACGTATCCAATTAAAGTGCAATTTTTTTAGCAAGACCCGATAAGCCATTAATTGCCTGGTGTATCAGTGTCACAAATTGAGAATGTAACATAATAATTTAGTGGTTAAAGTTATATTTTGTCCAAAGAGACCGTGCCATTGTTCAAATTATGGGTATATTTAGTTCATATAATCTGCAACAACTTGTCATTTATCTATATCGCGTTAAATCAATTCATATTTAAATAAATGTGCCATTTTGTGGTGCATTTTTTCCTATTTTATTGAAGTTAAGATATTTGGATCGAGAAACATGCCCTGACAATTAGTTTTTACGTAAAGACAACCATACACATAAAGGTACAAACACAAGTTCGTCAAAGCTGTACGCTACCGGTCAAAATTCAGAATACATGTGCAGATGAAATATTTTTTAAATACCTCCATAGGAAAACTTTCAATTCAACAGTGCAGTATGATTTTGATAAACATACAAAGCAGGGAGAGGATATCACTATGGATTGCAAACTTAAGAATATATATAAATTTTACACATTATTATTTAACCCGACAGAAATTTTGTCTTTATTTTGAACGAATATCAAAAAAAAAAAAGTTTTATAAATGATTTGTTTGAATGTTAAGCGCTCCGGAACCCACGGCGGTAGAATATCTCGAATAATTTACTACATAAGAATCGGAACAAAAAAAAAAGACGAAAAAAAAACAAAGCACAGAAGGCGCTGAATTTGTTTGGGTCTCAGAATGTCAAAAAGGTGAAGGTTGTGAGATTATAAACCAATTTGTTTTTGTATAGTGCCACCAATGCTGTTTCCAGTGTTATGATTGTAGTAAATTGGCCATAAGTATAATAAATAAAAAAACATGTGTTTCCTGTACTGAGGTTTGAACTCAGACCTCTCGCTTCCTAAGCGAATGTGTCAACCCCTCGACCACGAGGAGTTACAACATAGCAGCCTGAAGAATACCATATTATTCTAAATAAGTTTGTAACCTTTATTAATTTCGATATATTTTGTTCACGGTAAACCTGTTGTAAACCCCTAATTTTTCGGCTTTTATGTACATATGAAGGGAAGTAACCGCTTCGAGGAGTTTGGACTACTTTCGGCATTTGCAAATTAGAACATCAGAGTCTGAAATTTAGCTACCATTATTTGTTTGGTCTGACGACCCAAACAAATAAAAAACGGGTAAATGTAGAGAAAAGTTATGAAGGTAGACCCACATTTTGACATAATTAAAAACAGCTTTGAATTTTATAGTTAAAACTTTGCCCTGTGATTGACCACAGGCACGAGTATCGGACCTGGGAAGAAAAAATATGACCAGATTGATAAAATAACCTGTGTTCCTCTTAAAAGTGTCAAAAACAAAAACAAAATGTAAATAATGACCCCCTTTAAAATATACTATAAGTTAAGAGTATATTTTTAAAGGGGGTCATTATCTACGTTTTAATTTGTTTTTGACACTTTTAAGATGAACACAAGTTATTTTATCAATCTGGTCTTATTTTTTCTTCCCATGTCCGATACTCGTGCCTGTGTGATTGACCTGCTTTTTTCATAGAATTAATGCTATAAATAGTACACTCCTTGATCGGCGGAAAATATCAATTTTTACCGTAGCTCAATTTGAGTACACTATGGGGTTCACCCCCTTCCACTATCCCAACCCCAAAGCACCAATTGTTACCTCAAAAATAATCTCATTCACGATTTACCTGCTTCCTTTAAACAATATTGCATAACATTAGTAGGTTGGCAAATGTCTTTCGTGTACCGGATATCATTTAATAGTAAGTATGTTTTGAATGCGCCTTGCACTTGTTATATAACAAAACACAAGAGTCTCCCTCAATAATGCAGCAATATCGTCATTCTCATGAATGATCTTAAATACAAACCAATTGTTGCTTATAAGAGACCGAGAAATTTACAAGAAATTTTAGTTCATACTCATTTAAATGCCAAATTCATGGTTGGTTCAGTATCTAAATGCTGTCGACCTCGTTGTACTCATTGTAATAATAATTTTTCAAGTACTACTAAAGAATTTGCTATAAAACGTGACTTTACATGTATATCTTCAGATGTCATTTATCTTATAACTTGTAAAAATGTAAAAAAACAGTATGTTGGTCAAACTCAGCAAAAATGTAGTCAACGAATGAATAGCCACAAATTTGATATTAAACACTTTCCTGACACTATTGCCAATGTATCTGAACATTTTAATTCTGAAGGGCATTCTATCAAAGATTTTTCATTTATGCCAATCGATAAAGTAAAGAATAATTGGCAAAGATTATTAAAAGAAACTTCATGGATGTATAAGCTAGGTACAATTATTCCTGATGGCATGAATTCCAAAATACTTTATTAATTTTGTAGATTATAATTCTTCATTTTAATATCTTTTTTATAAAAAATTGTATTTTCTATTTTTTGCTTAATATGACTTAAAACTAATTTCATGTCAATAATTTTATGTAGTTTATGCTGGTTTTCTTATTTTACATTGCTTTTTACTGCAGCTTCACCCGTGTTTTGTATCTTTTATAAAGATCCTACATATAACATTTATACGCCAAATTATGTAATACATTTTGACGTCGTTGTCCTTGACGTCATTTGTCGTTGACGTCATTTCCTGTAAACAAAGTATACCTGATGAAGACTTTGAGTCGAAACGTTGTTTATTATATACTTATAAATGAAATATTGAGAAATATTGATGAAATAAAATGCGTATTTTCATTTTCCGTATTTTCACTGTAAAAATTTATTTTTCACTGCAGTGAAACATATTTTCCGTATTTTCACTGGTGTCTTGCCGGACTACTTTCTTTTAAATTCTACCAGTACACAAAATTTAAGGGAAAGTTTTTCAAATTTTATCGCAAAAAAGAGAAAAATGTACATAATAAACAGAAAATTCAAGTTTTTTCTATAAATACATGATTTATTTTCATCTTGTGGCATGAAAATTACCATATTTCACTCGTGGCTACCGCCACTCATGAAATATTTATTTTCATACCACTCGATGAAAATATATCATGTATTTATAGAAAAAACTTGAATATCCTCTATATATTTTTCAAATAAAATAATTACATTTTTAAATTGAAACTGGAGTTGATTTTTATATTCAAACTTACTTACTTACTTAAATATCAAACGAATTCTAGGAAATATTTGTTCTGCTGTTTAACGCATATTACAAAGCAGCAGTATATACTTTTTCATTTATTTCAATTTTATGTACTATTTATGCTTAATTTTGTTAAGTCACAATTTCTGCGTCTTTTTCAAACATGCCCACGTTACTGGATATACACGACATGGTGACACTGCTAGAATAACAGATTTTGAGTAAATAGAGGATATTCAAGTTTTTTCTATAAATACATGATTTATTTTCATCGAGTGGTATGAAAATAAATATTTCATGAGTGGCGGTAGCCACGAGTGAAATATGGTAATTTTCATTCCACAAGATAAAAATAAAGCATGTATTTATAGAAAAAACTTGAATTTTCTGTTTATTATATACATTTTTCTCTTTTTTGACATTAAAATTTAAAAGACTTTCCCCTAAATTTTGTGTACTGGCAGAACTTAAAAGAAAGTAATCCGGTAAGACACCAGTGAAAATATGGAAAATATGTTTCACTGCAGTGAAAAATAAATTTTTACAGTGAAAATACGGAAAATG